ATTACTAGAATTGATCTAGGATAATCATCAGATAATTTATTAAGTAAGATAACTATTAAACAAGTTCTTAGTCGATGAGTTACGCCAATACTTAAAATAGTGGATTTTTGTGTTTGAAACTAGCACTTAGTGTATGTGAGTTGAGTTTCATCACCTACAATGTGGAAATATTGACATACATAAGTGGGTGCTCATAGTCGATGAGTTCATTGAACCCCCTCGTCCTAGAATCTCTAACTGGTTTTCATTAATTGAGTAGAGGTTCTATGATTATAGTTGTACACCATTAGTTCTTCGGACCTAATACATTAGCGCGACTTCATTATAAGACCAACTATTTTGTGACATGTCCACGAGTCTTCACGAAGACCACTCCAAGGGCTAATGTTCGCAATGTCCGAAGTCTATTGGGAGTCTGTATATCGTAGTTAGGGATTTGACCGCTTGCTTAACTGCATGGATGTTCTGTGTGTTCTTCAAATATATCGCCCAAGGAATCATCGACCGAAGTAAAAAGAGTAGTAACTAGAGAAAATGGTTTCTCTATGTCACACACGAATGGACTTTATAGATTTGGAACGACCGCAAAGTTACCGAATTGATACGAACCTCACCAACAATGTGACGAGACCCGATATTAATATTTCGGATATCAATATCCCAGACCGTCCTAATTAAGAAGGAACCAAAAGGGTGTATGCAAAGATGCCACAATGGATTGCGAAAGTTCGATTGATAAGTCGGGGTGAACAAACGGAATCCACCGATGTGTTCGAACAGTTCTTAAATAACCAAATGAGAATTTTCTCAATTAAATCATCAAAATCCGTCCTCCCTAATATGCCAAATTGGCAAACTATTTATAAGTGCTAAAAAGACTCATTTTTTCACAAGGAAAATGACTCCTACCTAAACTATAATAAAGAAACTAATCAATAAACAAATTATAACCATAAAGAACTCTAAAATAATAAAAATATAATAAATACTAAATTAAAAATGTGCATAGTTGAAATTAATTAACTTGATCTTCAAGTCGCCCTCTCGATCACCTTTCTTAACTCGCGTAGACATTGGGTTGTGCACGTGCATGCAATTAAAGCTCAACTTCGACACAGTAGCACTTTGACTATCTCTTTGCTCAAAACATGAAAGTTGTAGATATTTCAGTTCAGTTTCCGAATCGTTTTGAATTACCTTAAATATACTTCAGATGCAAGAGTTATAACTCGAATGGTAAGCTCTGCAAGAATAGGCGAGAATCTCGGATGCATGGAATTCAACTTGCCCAGCGAACTATCCTCTTCCTTTTCTTCCAATTCCTCAACAACGACTCTTCAAATTCCTGATTCAAGCCTTTATACTTCAATTTGAACACGAATGGCTCCATTAATCCCACTCGCTTTCTCTTCTTCCAATTCTTCATATTTGAGCTTACTAGGATCGTATCACGAATAATATTAGAGGTCTTGGTGAACCAATGTCTCTAGTTCGATCGGGACATATGTTTTATCCAAGGGACGTCCGTCCTGTACGCAAACTATAATTTAAGGTTATTGCACGAACTTCATTTGTATCTAGGGAATCATGACATGTAGTTGCTAGACGTCAATCATGATATCAGCGATGAAGATTTTTTTTAATCTTAATCGGGACAATTGAGACGATTCCATTATCAAATAAATGATTATTCGAATCACAAAGAGTTGTACGCCAACAACTAGCTTACACCTGAACCAGCCATTGAGAATCACAGTTCTTGTGGAGAAGATTGCTTAATATAGTGAACTGAAATTAATTAGTTGGTCTTAGCTAAAACCAAGTTCAATAGAATTGAATCTAAAATTCTTAATAGTCAATTATGATTAGAAGAGGAAGAGAAAAACCTTTTTACAGGTTTCAAGTAAAATTTCTGAATTGAGATTTTCTCAATTTGACAGGTACCACTGTAATACAAGGTTTCAAAAGTGGAATTATAGGTCAAGTAGGATACTTGACTTACAAGTCAAATAATTCTATAAATACAAGGCTTAGGGTAGATAATTAATATACAACACAAGCTCTCTCTCTCTCTCTCTCTCTCTCTCTCTCTCTCTCTCTCTCTCTCTCTCTCTCTCTCTCTCTCTCTCTCTCTCTCTCCCTCCCACCGCCATCATCGTCGGAAAATTCTTTTTCCTCATTTTCTTCTTTCGTGTCTCTCACCTATTAAAACTATAGTTTTTTAGTGCAAGCGATTTGGTGGATTAATCTCTTCAAGATGAAATCCAATTACGGACATACGGTGGAGAAGATTGGCTTGGATTGCTCAACTAAAGACTTCGGTGAGACCACTGAAACAACATTCTAAAGAGCTAACGAGTAAGTAATTGAATCTCTTTTATTTAATTTTGAATATATATTTAATTACTTGAATTCGCATGCTATTGTAGTCGATTAATTTTAAACACATGAATTATGCATGTTAATTGATTATGCTTATAGATGAATTTATTGTTCATAGAATTCATATCATTAAAAAAATTAACTTCCGTTGCATATGAATGTCATTCCCAACACCTATAACGATCTAATGTTACCGCCCCCTTACCCCTTGCTTATTCGATCTAATGTTTGAAAGATTTACCAAACTTTAAAATCATGCTCGTCATATGCAAAGTCAACAAGTGTACACTTTAATTTTCACATATTAAGGATTAGCTTACACATAAACACATATACACATTCAAGACATTATTTAAACCAAGGCTACATATTCTAATCATATAATCACAATATCAAGTAAGGGACAAAACAATTCAAGTCAAGAACATAAATCACAAGGTTTATACATATTATAAAAATAACCCAAGTTCTTGGCTATTTACAATCATGGCCTTTAAATTTCATCAAGTTATAATTCAAACCTTCTTTCTGAAACACTTGTAGCAAGAATTCAAAAATTATCACATTGTTCTTCTAGAAAATTTGGAAGGATTTTCTTTACTTTAAAAAATTATCACCTTTCCATGGCGGTGTTTCACATCTTTTTTTATTAATGCTCCCATGAAATAGGGATTTGTGGAAATCCATTTTTTTTTGTCAACTGATATGCCAAAAATTTTGCAAATTTATCAGCAAACTTGGTAGCTCTCCTTATACTATATTCACATAATACTTATAGGGAAAGAAATGTAATCCTTTCAATTTTTTTATTTTTTAGAGAGGAAAATATCCTCTTCTTTCAATACTTTACCCCATGTAAATAAAGAGTTTATGCCTTTTCTTTATTTCAATCCATGTTCACGAGCAGCAAGGCTATTATTGTCATTGGATGGTTAATGAGACATAACTTTGATATCCGAGGAAGAGATGAGGGTTGGAGATGTCCCACCGGGCGTGCCAATTTATTAACCGCACATTTTCTAATCTATAAAACATAAATACAAGACATAAAAATAGGGAACAAATAATTTATTTATCAAAACGATGTGGATTATAATCTCCTTAATTCCCCTAATTCTTATCTCCTATTATGACTTTGATTAAGGGCTTAAAAGCTTGTTCTTGAATCGAATGAATGATTTCCTATCACGAACACCTCGAATTCAAATATGTTATGAATTCGAGGCGGGGGCTCGAGACATGAGCTTGAGAGCTCAATATGTGTCTGTGTGAGTCTGTCTTTGCATAAGCTGGATACCTTCTTTTATAGGCATGAGGTAGGGTTTCCTGGCACAAGTTAGGGTTTCTCAACTTGCAGCGTGGGCCAAAACATTTGAAAGGTCAAATATGTTATGGACTTTAATTTGAGACCTAATTCATAACTGATTTGTTTTGATTATTAATTAGTAATTTATCTCAAAATTTTGATGTCTACAGAGACCTCAAATGAGATGCAGAAAAATGTAAAATTCATAGTTTGGAGAGTGTGTTCTTGGGATTTCTCTTGACGGCTGAAGGTTGCAAAAATGGAGGTGAGTGTGTGTGTTCGGTCGAGAGAGATAGAGGTGAAGGAGACAGGTGATCTTTGAAATGACATGTGGAGTGTAGGAGTGTAAAGGTAAAGTAAAGTAGTACACTTAAGGCCATCTCCAATGGATGTGGGGATTGGTAGGAGTGGGTGGGATTAATTGTGTGCAATGGAGGTGGATAATGAGGGGGTGAGGTAGGGGTGAGGCAGGAGTGGGGGATAAGCCCTATAGCTTGCCCTCGCAGTTCAAACGACCTGTGGAGTTTTGTGCTCCCCTCTTTTCTTTTCTTTTTCTTTTTCTTTAGTACCCCATCGATCAGAATTTCTTTTTCCTTCTATCTACTCTTTATTGTACATGTCACTTTTTATATATATTTATGTTTTTCTTTTTCTTCTGTGTTTTTCTTTCTTTTAAATTTGTTTCCATTCATAATTTTTTTGATATATTATCATTTTGTTTTGATTCATTTATCTCGTTTTATTTTATTTTAATTGTTTTTTATATATTTGTTTACAATCGTAAAAATTTAGCAAAAACAACAAATACAATTTTTTTTGTTACATTTCAATATAAATTTAATACAACATAATTTTAATAAAATCAAACACTTAATTCAAAAATAAACACTTTTGATATTTTTTTTCTTTTGCTTTTTTCTTTCCTTTTGAATTACATTTTTATTCGTTCTTCTTCTTCTTCTTCTTATATATAGACGTAATAGGACAAACCAAATGTTAGGTGACACATCAAATTAGTTATCTATAGACGTAATATAAACATCAAATTGTAAGGTGACACATCACATTAATTATCATGTTTCTTTTTTCTTTTTCTTTGTTTTTAGAATTATTTTCTCCACGACCATATGACTAAATTGGGAGATAGTGCTGATAGCGACTATATAAACTTGATAGTAACTATACAAACTTTTGATTATACTAGAAAGGTGGACGTCCGTTGCACGTCTCGTGTTAATAGTAAAATCTATTTTTTATGGGGTTTTTCGCAAAAACCACCATTGTGTAATCTCGAATTGCTGAATGTGTGTAGCACGCGCGAAATGTGCGAATGGGTGTGTATTTTTTACGCGAAAAGACTCGAATACCCTTTAAATTAGTAATTTAAAAAATTATAAATTCAACCCATAATTTTAATCAGGCCCAAAATGAAGTTCTCAAAATTTTTAATTCAATTCCAATATTTCTAAAAAGCCATCTTCCCCAATCAACCCGAAACCAGATTTCTCTTCTCCACCACACACCTACAACTACCAAAATTTTCCTCCACCATCAAATAATCCATTACAAATCAACAAATAAAAGGGAAGTTGAAATTCAATTCAAGCCAAAAATGAAATGCATTTGCAATTCCATTACAGACCGTATATTTGTGTGTGTTTGTGTGTAAGACCCACCATTAGAGCACGTAAAGGGGAGCTTGAGCAAAGACAATAAACTCCTTAAACCTCCTAACTCTAAATAAATGGCCTATTCCCTCGTCATTTCCCTGCGTCAGACACCATTCAGGTTTTTTTTTTTTTTTTTTTTCTTTTTTTGTTTTCCTTTGCCTATTTTCCCCACACAATACAAAAGAGGCCAAATAAAATTTAACAACTAAGAAAATTTGTCTTAAAACTAACAAGAGCCATCTTCCAGTTGTTCTTGAGGTGGTCGGTCGTCTTCAACTCCACTGTCGTCCCCAAAGGGAAGATTTTTCAAACTTTTCTTTTTCTTTTTTTCCCGATTTTTTGTGTTGTACTGTGGGGTATTTGGCTTGTTCTACTTAGGCATGGTTTCGTCATTTCATGTAAGTCAACACCCAATTTTAATGTCAGGGGCAGTATGCTTTGCAAAATAAAATATATGGAGGTCTTTGCTAATTCTTTTAACAAAAGGGTCTTTTTGGCCATTCGAAAATTACACAGGGGTTCTATGCAATTAGCTCATTTTTTAGGGGTTATATGAGATAACCCCCTCATACAAATTCCTTAGAGGCATAAATCCATATTTTTATTTACTATTAGGGATAACCCCTCATTAAGGTTAATATCTAATTTACCCTTATTATATTCATAAAAATATAATTAAATTATTATTGGTAACTCCCCTAAAATAACTCCCCTTAAATCTCTCACCAACTCCCCCAAATCTCTCACTAAATTTAAATCACGTATTTCAATTTCCTTTTGATTCTTTTTACAATCTTTTTGTAATTTTGATTTAAAAAATATATTTATGTTTTTTCAATTTTCATTTTTTTAATTGGTTTTTTTACCGCAAGTTTAACAAAAAATTGAAATCCACTACATACTCATTGAACACCACTATAAATTCATCTTTTACAATCTTTTCGTAATTTCGATTTAAAAAATATATATATTTTTTTTCAATTTTCATTTTTGTAATTGGTTTTTTTACCGCAAGTTTAACAAAAAATTGAAATCCACTACATACTCATTGAAAATCACTATAAATTCATTGAAAAACACTATTCGATTAACGTAGAAATCAGTATGAAATTATCGTAATCAACTTTAATATTAATATAATGACTACAAACGTATCGAAATCGAATAAAAATTTACATAATCCACTACGAATTAACGCAATCCATTACAAAAGTATCAAAATCCACTACAAAGTTATCAAAATCCACTTTATAAGTTAAAGTAATCCACTACAAAATTAACGTAATATATGGATTGAAATCCACTACATACTCGTTGAAAACCACAATAAATTCATCGAAAACCAGTATTCGATTAAAGTAGAAATCAATATAAAATTATTTTAATCAACTTTCATCTTAATATAGTGCACTACGAACGTATCGAAATCGAATAAATATTTACATAATCCACTACGAATTAATTAACGTAATCCATTACAAAATTATCAAAATCCACTACAAAATTAACGTAATAACGTATCGAAATCGAATAAATATTTACATAATCCACTACGAATTAACGTAATCCACTACAAAATTATCAAAAACCACTACAAAATTAACGTAATAACGTATCGAAATCGAATAAATATTTAAATAATCCAATACGAATTAACGTAATCCATTACAAAATTATGAAAATCCACTACAAAACTTATCAAAATCCACTATAAAATTAACGTAATATATGGATTGAAATCCACTACATACTCATTGAAAACCACTATAAATTCATCGTAAACCACTATTCGATTGAAAACCACTACATACTCATCGAAAACCACTATAAATTCATCGAAAAACACTACAAGCTTATCATCACCCAACATGGTCCCACTTGCTGCCATCACCCGCTTGTGCATGAATCTAAACCAAAGAAAAATAAGACAACAACGTGTCAATTTAATTCATTCACTAAAAAATCAAGAATTTAAAATCCACTATAATCTCGTCAAAACCCAGTACAAAAATTATCGAAATCCACTAAAATATTAACATAATCCACTACGAAATAAGTTAATCCACTAAAAAATTACAACAAAAAGTATAATAACAAATACTCAAATAGTGACCGAAAACGTGAAGGAGCCTCAAAAGTATATTGAAAATCTCATATATATAATAGCTCATTCAACAATTCGACTAGTTGTCACTTCTATTTTGTTAACCATCGTGTAAAATTTATTTATGGATATAGAGAAAAAATGACAGCAACAAAAACAGCAGCAAACCAACATCTTAAACAGCAGCAAAACAACACGAAAACAACAGCAAAACAGCAACAAAATCAGCTGCAAATTAGGAGCCAAACATCAGTAAAGCCAAAAGAAAACAGCAGCAAAAAACAGCAGCAAAGAAAATCAGCAAAATAGCAGCCAAACAATAGCCAAGCCAATTGCAGCTAAAAAATACAATAAATAAATTATAATTCTAAATTTTCAGAAAAAATTATCCAAAATTTGAGAATATTTTTAGAAATTATGGAATTTTCGATAATATTTAGTGTTTCACCTTATTAATTCGTATTGTATTCCTTACTAAAAATTATCAAATCTCAAAACCCAAACATGTTTGAAATCAAACATTATCAAATTTCAAAACCAAAACATGTTTGAAATCAGAAGAATTTTTGCACTCATTCACCGTTATCACAAAGTTATTAATGTGAATTAAGTTTTATATTTTTATGGAGTTCTCTTTTTTTCATGAATCAACATTAGTCTCTCTCTCTCTCTCTCTCTCTCTCTCTCTCTCTCTCTCTCTCTCTATATATATATATATATATATATATATATATATATATATATATATATATATATATGTACACACACAAAGGGGAATGAAATTCCCCACAAATACGTACCTGGTCGAAACACCAATATCACGAAGCAATGTTCTGCACAAAAATCCCTCACAAAGATCTGTTTGTCGATTCCAGATCCGATCGTCGGGATTAAGCCTTGTCATCATCGATTTTTCTGGTTCTGTCTTCTTTTGCGTTTTATGTCATGGTGGTCCTTTATCCGGCCGTCAAGAGAAGAAAAGCGGAAGAAATAGTGGGTGGATGGGGAAGATGGACATATCGGATTCCGCCGAGAAAAGAAAAACAGAAGAAAGAGAGAGCGGATGGTGGATGGATCGAGAGAAAGAGTGAGGGAGAGAAAACGTGTCTAGGGTTAAACGGCATGAGATTTGGGTGGGTTTGGTAAAGGGTATAATTGTACTATATATTTTAAAATTAAATTATGGATTTATCTCAAAGAGGTGAAAAAAGAATGGACCCCCTCTAATAGGAAATGTCATATGAGGGGGTTTTGTCAAATAATCCCCATTTTTTATGCTTCATTTTGTCTGATACAATTTCTCACCAAAATAATATTACATATGTAATTAGACTAATAAATTATGTAATACATAAAGATCTATCTTGGTTTAGTATTGAAATATATATGTTATTTGACACTTGTTACTGTGCATCTTCGATTGTTCTTTAAATTTAATAATTGGATGCTTTTCGTGTTGACATTCTTCACCAATTCTAACTTTACTTGCTTCTTCTTATTAGATATATTAATTACAAAAAAACATGATTATGAAGCTTTCCTTAAAATTCTGGCACTTGCTGAACATGCAAAAAGATAGGGTAAAATTCATTTTGCACCCCTGTATTTAGGGTTGTTCATGGGTCGGGTCGGTTGAATATCGGCTGATTATCGGCCCGACCCGACCAACCGACTATTGCAAATATGCAAAACTATTACCGGCCCGACTATTGTGGGTCGGGTAACGGTTGGCAACCGACTTTGTCGGTTGCCGAAACAGTTCGGTTGCAAATTATCGGTCGATATCGGCCACATTAAAAAAAAAAATCAGATTTTCAATTTATGAGGAAAAAAAAAATACTATTCTCATTAAATAATTCTCGAGAAAAACTTCATTTTTTTTTCACTCATAAATAGTATTCTAACAAATATAAAGAATCCCACATATTTATGTTATAGATATATTCTGGCTTGTTTCTTCTTGTTTGGCTTCTTTGATCTTTGTTTAATGTGAGATATACAAAAAAATATACAAAAAAAAAAAAAAAAAAAAAAAAAAAAAAAGAACGAGAATTCTTCCTTGACAATCAATGAGATTCTAATAATTGAAAAAAAAGGTCTGATTCAATTATTCAACTACTTCAAATACAAAAACACATTCTAAATATTATTGCCCAAAAATTAAATATTATTGCCCAAAAATTAAATGTAGAGTCAAAAGGCTAAAAAAAAAAAAAAAAAAAAAAAAAGTCGGTTGGTCGGGTAATATCGGCCAACCGACTTTTCAATATTTCAGAAACCATAACCGACCCGACTATGCATGGGTCGGTTGATATTATCGGCCCGACCAGAACGGGTCGGTTGATGGGTAATTATCGGCCGCAATAGTCGGGCCGATAATGGGTCGGTTGTCGGGTAAAACCGACCCATGAACAACCCTACGCTGTACTATGAGAAATGTATTGTTTACCCCCATGATGTATGGAAAACATCAAACACCCCCCTACTTTTGACAGTCAATGGTCAAACTTTTAACGGTGTTAAATTTGAGTGTGTAATTACTATTTTACACCGTTTTACGCGCATTAGAGAATTCCTTAAGTTTTTCTCGTCATTCACTCTCTGTACAACTCTCCCTCTCTTCGTCTTCTCCCCCATCTTCGATTTTGCAAGAAAACAACACCTGAAATATTCATATAATTCTCAAGATTTTTGTGAAATTTGTTGAAGAAACCTTATATGAGCATATTCGAATGACTCTTGCCCTAGAAGAAGGTACGAATTTTGGTTTTAGGTTTTTTTTTTCTTTCGCAATAACGGGATTAACATTTGGGTGAACTGATTTTTTTTGGGGGTTCTTTAACCCAGTAAACTTAGAGGGCTAAGGAGACGATTTTAACTAAAAACAAGGTGTATTTTGTGGATTATTGACAATTTTCAGAATTCGTTCAAAGCAGAGTTTTGTCGATTTTAGTGTTGTTTGATTTTAGGGGTTTATGTTTAATTTCAAATAACAGATGTAATTTTTTGCATTGCTATATAAATAACAGACGTAATATCTTTTTGAATTCTCAACTTTATTGATTTTTTTAGTTTTGCTATAGTTATAGATTTCTCAACCTGTATGCCATTTTATGCTTGGACTTAAAAGAATTTTTATTTTCAATTAACCCGTAATGTTTTTTTTTTCTTTTACAGATTGTATATTTTCTCCAACTCATATTTAAAAAAAAAAATCTTATGCAAAGTCTGTGAATCTTTGTTTTTAGTTTGCTGTTCATTAGAGTTTTATTTTGATTTAGCATTTCTTTTAGATTTTAGGGTTTTTTTCTTGTTTGTGGGTCTTCCGATCATTATCTGCAAAGCTTTATTTTTATCGATTTGATTT